AAACCCAAGCTGAGAATCTGCATTGCAGGGATGCTGGGAGCACCCCAGATGGCTGTGGGTGTTGCTTTCTTAGCAGCACAGCCTCGTGGCACTGAAACAAACGTGTTGGCTGAGCCAGTCTGGTCTGCTTTAAAGACAGGACTTTCCAGTAGGTTCCACAGCCATCATCAGAGGTTTTCTTGGGTAAACCATCAGAATACCAAGGTGGAGGGAATGGTTATCATTTCTGTCAGAAAAGGACAGCAGTCTTACCTTGAGAATGCTTGCTCCTATTCAACTAGTTTCAGTTGAGCAATACCCTAGGTGTTTTAAAGGATATTTCTCAAGTAAACTCTGAATGAAGTCATACTTTCAAGAGCCATTGTGTCACCTTGAGTATTCACCACAGTGAGCTGAGGGAAGACAGGATATGCTGTGAGGGCAGGCCTACAGGACATGGTGGTGGCTGGCAAGGGTAATTCATGAGGCTTTGTGCTGTCTTCTCCACTCATTGTCTTGGCACAGGAGTCTGACAAACCACTGCTTTTTCCTTTGTTGGTGCCTTTCCACTCATCCACTCCAGGCTACCTCATTCATTCATTTATTTAAATGAATCTTCTGAGGGCTAACTTTGGGCCAGTCTCAATGTTAGGGGATACAATAGAAAGAGAAATATCTGTGCCATCCATGCCATAGCAGAATAATCCTTGAAAAAAATTAACTCTGTTGAAATGTTTTCTCAAACCTCTCATTGCTGTTAGTCTGCATATGTTAATTATCAAATAAATGAAACTCAAATTTGAAGATGTCAAAACAGAAACTCAGAGAGGTACTAATGAACTAAATGATGTCAAGAAGTACAGTTTTACAAAGGATATATCACATATTTCAAACAGACCTTCTATTAAGGAAAGGGAATAATAATATTGAGTAATTGCACTATGAAGCTAACTAACAAAACTTAAAGTATTTTTCTTTCTGGTGGCAAAATTCAAGGGAAAAGTAGAATCTGAAGTAGGAAATAACCCTAACAATCAACCCTCAAGTGACTCTAATCTTAATCCAAAAAGTGCTGTCTCAGTATCTCTAGATGTTTGATCAATCTAAAGGGGACCAGATTTCATTTTCTTTGCCCTTTATGTATAACAACCAAATGCTGAGCAGCCATGACAGAGCCTTTTCCTTCCTAGTGACCCTGGCCTGGTGCCCTTGGCATCATTCTGTTCTGGAGAATCTTCCTGAAAGCCTCAAAGCCCATGAAGGTTTCTGAAGTTTCCAGTCCTTCCTCATTGTGGGCTTTAAAGAAGAGAGAACTCATAGCATAGGCTCTATGCCAGGCTGACTATGGTCCCCGACCTCCCCAGAGAATGATGGTCTGAAAGCATGTGTGAATTGTAGAGGAAACAGGTAGCTCCATCTTGCAGAAGTTCTTGTGAAAGATATTTGCTTGACCTGACCACTCAAACATCTGAGTGCTGAATGTGATTCCCACACTACTTGTATAGCTTTGGAGTCTGATGAATGCAGCCAAGCAATTGATTTAGAATGACTGAGCCTCACTAGGCAGAAACCATATATTGACTAAGCAACAGGGTCTTTTTGAAAAGTTAGTTGTTTTTCATTTCTTCCAATTATAAAATAATAATGTATGACCACCAATTAAAAAAAACTTACAATTGAGACACTTCCATAGCAAAATGAATGATTCCAGCAAACTCACTCCAAGATATAATCTCACCAACTGTTTTTATGTCTCATTATGCACCTATAGACATGTGTCTTTTCTCCCGGACTTAACATACTATTACACTCTACATACTATTCTCTGTGTTTCAGCTCACTTGAGCATCACTAAATGTTAAATAATAAAGAACTACTTTATTTTTTAATTGGCAAAATATTTCACATTAAGTGTAAATCATTTATTTACACAAATCCTTATTAATGGACATGAAGATTGTTTCCAATTCTTTGCTGATATTGGCAATGCTTCATCAAGTAACTTTCCCAATTAATCAGTTGGACTGAAAATATTTCCAATTTCTCTTCTTTCACTTGCAAACTGGTAAATTCTCTTAATTGGCCACATCTGGGACACTGCTCTTCCTTGTAGGCCCATTTTATGTGTCTCATCTCACCTTGCAGGTTCTACTGAGCCCCTTCCTTGTTTAATGCATTTAACCCTTGCCACCAGCCTGGACTAGAAGGAGGCTTTATATCAGGACCCTGTTATGTTTTTTGCACAGTAATTTCCAGGCTTTGTCAGCATTGCTTCCCTAAATCATTCTCTGCCCAAGCCCCATTGCTTGCTTTCTGTTCATCCATAGGTGAACTCCTGTCACCAGGCCTTCGGAGACTTAGGGAACCTATCTGAACTTCACTTCCTGGGCCTTTGACATCTAAAAGCCTTCCTCTCATTTCTGAATCTTACTTCCTCTTCTTGTTGCTTCTTCTATAAGTCTAGGTGTCCTTCCTGGACTATTGCTCACTAACCCTAAGACATGGAGCTCTATCCTATCCCATTTACGAGCAGCCCATTGTGAATCAGTATTTCACTGAGTTTTGGGCAGTGCATGAGCAAAGGGTCAGCATTGAGTGCAGTAAATCCATAAAGTCATTTCTCTGGCACTGCTCACACTGCCTTACCCCACCCTCAAAAGCCTCTGGTTCATAGGTGAAAGACCCTTGTATCAAGCAATCAGCAAAAAAGCATAATGCCTCATCCCATAGCCAGGCTGGCCTGCCCTTCTCTACCCTGTCCCCTAATTCTTGTGATTTAAAAATCCTCCATCTCATCATACAGTAACCCCATCTCTATGAAGCCACATAGCTCTAAGTCTCTACCCGTCTCTTGACAGATGTTTCTGAGGTTAGTCTTCAACTTTAGGTGAGACCTAGCACTCTACTGCTTTGGGAAGAAAATGAAACTTCCAAATTGAACATTATTTAAAATATTCCCCTCAGACAGGAATTCAAACATGGTTCCTCTTCCTGTGTAACCCCATGGGCAGTAGTAATTCAGTGTCTGACTGCTACATTTTACACCCATTGTCCTATAATCCAACCTCCAGGCAGTTGCAGTTTGTTGTGGAGAGAGGAAGACACAGAGAGAGAGAGAGAGAGAGAGAGAGAGAGAGAGAGAGAGAAAGATCCAGCTAGCAGTGGTTAGCTTGAGAATTTTAGTACATTGTGCCAGAAGCTTAACTAAGATACATATAGTGACTTTGAACTTGTCCAAAGCATGAAGAAATCTCTTCATTCAAACACCAGTCATGGACGAGGAGTATAGCTTAGTGAATGGAAGCCCTGCCCAGCATGCCTGAAGCCCTTGATTTGAGCTGCAGCATCATGGAAAAGGTTTTTTTAAAAACAGTAGTCAGATGAATTGTGGAGACATTCTATTGAACAGTCTTCTTATCTGTGTTTTAGTAATACTTTTGATTCATTCATATGGTCAGTTTTCTAAATGTTGTTTCTTGGGCAATGTGTACACAGGAGTCCTTCTTCTTTTCCTTCTTCCTCCCAGTAATCTTTTTTTTTTTTTTTTTTTTTTTTTTTTTTTTTTTTTTTTTTTTTTTGTACCAGGCACTAAACTCAGGACCTTGCACTTGCCAGGCAGGTGCGGTACCACTGAGCTACATCCCGGCCCACTTCTAGTTAGTCTTTATTGAGGGTAGTTCAGGTACTAGGCACTATTCTTCATTATCTCATTTTCTGTTTCCAATAATCTTATATTTTTTAAAAGGCACTATTATCTCCAAAACTACCTCCACTATTCACTCAGAAAAATTGTATAACCAAAGTCACATAACCAGTAAGTGGTAGAGTCAGGATTTAAATCTAGATCAGAATGATTCCAAAGCTTTGCCTTTCATCACAAAATCGGCTATCATTGAGATTAGAACTTTCTGAGTCTATTCCCATTTCCATGGTCACTTAATAGCAATTAATTTCTAACCCCTCTCAAATGAAATAATGAGCTAAAAATAAGAAATTCTAAGTCTTGAATATTTGTACTTGAGAAATCTCAAATTATTTAGAGGACGTGGAAGGCATAGACTTGGACAGTGTTTTAAAGGACTTTAGAGATTATTTACAAGGGCTTTGCTGGCCAACAAAGTTTTTTAGTTTTTATTTATTTTGTTGAAAAAAAAAACCTATGAAAAAATATGTAATATATGCTTTCCAAAAATAGAAAATTCTAGTACATGATGTTTCCTTCTTGGTCATACAGCATCAGCACTTTATTATTCTGCATTTTTCTAATATGCATATAAAATTGCTTCCTATTCATTAACCTTGATCAGTATGATTCTAGAGACTGTGGAAAAAATAGAGAAAGGAAAAACAGTTCCTATGATGAGCAAGAGCCAATTGGAAGAAGGGGAACAAAAAGATCAAGAGAATGTATTGGATAGTATTTGTGAGAAAGATTTTTTAGGAGGTAGAATGAACGTAGCTTAGAGCTTTCTAAAAATCAGAAAAGGGGCTCATGTATATATTTCAGAGAAAAGAAAGGGTGTGTGGAGAAGGCATAAAGCTATTGCACTATTGGTTTTTGCTTAGAAGTTTAGCAATGCTTTGAAGATAATGAAGGAGAGAGAGGCAGGAGAAGACACAGGCCCAGCAGGAAATGAAGGGGCATTTGAAAATGACTCTTAACACCAGCTTAGTGAGATACCACTGGAGGTAGCATAGACGAAATATATGAGGCTATAAATCTCTCATTCTTTTCTAAATGAAAACAGCAATGTCTAGACATCTTGCTTGATTGCTTTTGTTGTTGTTGCCTTTAACCAGTATAAAGTGCTATATAAATATTAAATGGATATCGAATCAAAGAGGTCAGAAATTGAAAACATAACAATAGGAATCTCAGCAGCATCTTAAAAGACTTTAAAGTACAATAGTACAAGAAATTTAGTAAACTAGAAATAAAAGAAACTCATGGCTAAGCTTTGTTATTGAGTGCATTTATTTAATTTATCACTACAGTTTGTATCACTCTTTTTTTTTTCTAGGAGCCTCGCAAACAACAATCTCCAGACACTCCCAAAAGATATTTTCAAAGGCCTGGATTCTTTAACAAATGTGTAAGAGGACTTAAGACTTTGTAGTAATTAACAAGAAAACTTAGTATTGATGACTAGAATTTTTTAAGGGCTTTAAAATTAGATCCAAATTTTTAAATTTTTATTTTACATTGGCCTAAATTTTAAATTTACACAGACTAGCATATGAGTCTTCCACAGTATTTACTGTTGGGAATTCTGAATACACAGTACGAAGGCATTACTTTGACAGAGTGTGTGTCTGCCTGAACAGGGTGACCGTAAGGGTTTCTGAGGGCTGGGAAGAGGAGACCCTGACAGAAATATCAAGATCCCTTTTTTTCTCATGAGGTCCAGGAAATCGGGCTCCAAAGAAAAAACATAAAAAAGTCTGGGAAACTGACAGAGTAAGATGAAAGGTTACACCCTTGGGTCGGTTGGTCAACAGAGAAACGGAGCAGGAAGTGGGGGAAGGGAAAAAAGTTTGCCTTTTCTCTCATTAGATTGAACAACAACTCTAGGCTTAATCCCCAGGAATTTGGCTTAAGCCCCAGGAAGGGAATGAACTTAATTATTTTTGACCCTTTTTCAAACAAAAGAGCTTTCAAACTTTGACTTTTAAGCCTCAGAATGAAAGATCTTTGCAAGGAATTTATATGTTTCGCTGTAAGCAAAGCAAGGACTATATGCCTAACCCTCTCAAAAGCAATTTAGGTTCATTTAGTGGCCTTCCAAAGCATTAGCCGGGTATTTTATGTCTTAAACAGAGCATAGGAACAAACAAAAGAATATATGAAAACAAAGGTTTTTTTGTTTTTACTCTATGTACTTTGCTATAGAAAAGTGATGGTGAACCTTTCAGAGATGAATGCCAAAACTGTAACACAACCCTTATTTATCACAAAGTGCCAACACTGAAATTAAACCTGAATACTGAGGTTTTAGTTGAGAAAAAAACAACACATACATTAACATCTTTTTGTCTTGAAAGAAAAACAACGCACAGGCCATAGGTTCACCACCACTGCTATAGAGCATATATTCAAGACAACTTTTCTCCAATAACAAACAAAATCTGAGTCAAGAATTTTTTCTAAGCCCGGTATTCAACTTCAAATAAGGAAGCTAATGAAAAACTTTCTTTGTTCTCTTCAGTAGTACCCCAGCCCCTCTTTTCATGCCTACTATCCCAATTCCCGAATAACTATTTCCAAGAGAGTGCAAGACACTTCTAAAAGAGTTCTGCATAAATCAGCTATCTGCTGTGGTTTACAATACTCAAGAAGGGTTGTCTTTCATTATTCTTAATCAGAGTACTCTTAAGGAATGAAGCTAGTTCAGGGAATGTTTTGGAATTTGGAAGATGATCCATGGCAAAGCTATGTGAGATATAACTTGTGGAGGACTTTTTATCCTATCCTTGTGTCAGTCTAACACTTGAAATTGTCTCAGTCTTTCTAGGGAATCCCACAATACGTTTGGCATCTTGGCTTACTCTACTACGCCCAAATCAAGAATTATCTTAGACATAAAAGGATCCAAGCCAACTTGCCTGTTAGGGAATTTCTTGGGTTTCTTGAATGTATCCCCTAAAAAAACGTTGTTAAACACTTGTACATTAGAAATTATTTATGTGCTGGATGAAGAGTAGGCAGCACCTATCTTAGAAATTTTGTGTGACCAGAAAAGGAAATGAAATTTCTGAGCAGAAGTAATGGAAAAAAAAAAACTTGGTGAGTTGAGGTCATTTGTGGAAAATCTGAACTATGCTGTGTCATTTGGTATGAGCATGAGCTATATTATGTATACATTAACAAAGTCACTTCCTATTAAAACTTAATTTGTAGACCATAGAATAAGATCAGAATTAATTATATCTGTGAGGAAGAGGAAAAGCAAAGAACTCACTTGATTTAATTAATTAAATATGATACAATATTTAATACAATATCACTACATCCTGTCCTCTAGTCCTGTGCCGTCCAGTATAGTAGCTGCATGACACTTACAGTCACTTAGCCCTTACAATGTGCTACTTAGTGCAACTGAGGATCTGAACTGTAGACTGTACTTTGGTGGGGGTTGCAGAGAGTTGAACCCAAGGACTCAGATAGGCTCGCATGTGTTCTATCTCCGAGCCACAGCATTCTATGATCTGCCTCAGACTGGACTGGCCAGTTAGTTTGGGCTTAGAGAGCACTTCTAAAGGCTACCCTAGTGAATAGAGCCTCACAACTTTCTCTGTTTTAGATTCAAAGGCAGTTTATTCCAGAACAGTACTATCAAATAAATAGTGTGTAAACCATAGATATAATTTAAATTTTTCTAGAGCTGCACTAAAAAAGTATAAAAAGGGCCTGGGATTTAGCTCAGTAGTTCTGGCACCTGCCTCTCAAATGCAAGGGCCCAAGTTTGATTCCCCGGTGCCAAAAAAAAGGGGGGATAAAAAAGGTGTAATTTATAGTATGTTTTATTTAGTTTGATACATTCAAAGTATTATCATTTGGATATAGTCAGTATAAACGTTTTTTAGATATTTTGCATCCTTTTTAACTAAGTCTTTGAAGTTCACTATGTATTTTATACTGACAATATACCTAAATCCAGATGCTAAATTCTCATCAGAAATATGAATTTTGATTTGATAAAATCCGTAGTTAAAGAAACAGATTCATACTCCCCAGACAAGGTATTTTGCTGATGTTAATTTCTGAAGAGGTCATGCTTCTGACATGCCAGGGCCCTTGTACTGCAAAAGCAGCAAAAGTTTGTCTTTCAGGGACCTGAGAGGGAATTCATTTAATTGTGATTGTAAATTGAAGTGGCTGGTGGAATGGCTCAGCCACACCAATGCAACTGTCGAAGACATCTACTGTGAAGGCCCCCCAGAGTACAAGAAGCGCAAAATCAATAGCCTTTCCTCCAAGGATTTTGACTGCATCATTACAGGTAATGTACTCAAAATCAATTTATAACATAAAATTAAAATAAGGACTAACTACTTTTTTGTATGTATAGGAACTGATATTTTTTAATATCTTAAAAACCAACTGAGCAATTTAATTTAAAAAAATCACAAAGCACTAAAACTTCATATGTTTAAAAGCAAAATAAAATTGCCATTTTACTATTTCTTGAAAATAAATATATTTCTTACAGGTATTTGAGATCTAACCAAAGAAAAAGGCACTAAAATTAGCTCACTGTTACTCATCATCATTTCCCATTTTTGCAGAATTTGCAAAATCTCAAGACCTGCCTTATCAATCACTGTCCATAGACACTTTTTCTTATATGAATGATGAGTATGTTGTCATTGCTCAGCCTTTTACTGGAAAATGCATTTTCCTTGAATGGGACCATGTAGAAAAGACTTTCCGGAATTATGACAACATTACAGGTATGAAAAGCTTTGCAAAATTCTGAATGGGAAACTAAACAGTTTTTGCCAATGGCAGTAGGAGAAGATAAGTGGTATGAGGGAGTGCTTTGAGCAAGCTTACGGTCACTTGAATCAAAGCTCCACCATTTACTAAGTAAGTTGGGATTATCCTCTGAGCTTTAATCTCTTCACTTGTAAAATGGAATAATACCTAACTCATGAGCTTGTTGATAAGATAATATTATTATGGGTACCACAAACAGCGTAGGACCCATCATACAAAATACATAATAAAAGGTGAATTATTTTTCAAAAGATATTGATTTCTAATCTAGCTGTGCAAGCTACTCATCCTCACTGGACTTCCAATTTTTTTCTTAACTATGACACAAGGTTTTTGCAGATAAGCATGTCTCAAACTCCTTTATTAAATTAAATTAATTAATTAATTTATTTATTTATTTATTTTTGGTACCAGGGATTGAACTCGGGTCCTTGTGCTTGCAAGGCAGGCACCCAACCACTGAGCTAAATCCCCAGCTATGTAAGGAATTTTTTTGTTTGTTTTTGGGTTTTTTTGGTACCAAGGATCAAACTTGGGTCCTTGTGCTTGTGAGGCAGGCAGTGGAACCACTGAGCTAAATCCCCAGCCCTCAAGCTCCTTTAAACAAACTCTTTTTTTTTTGGTACTGGGGGTCGAACTCGGGTCCTCGTGCTTGTGAGTCAGGCTCCAGAACCACTGAGCTAAATCCCCAGCCTCTCAAGCTCCTTTATACAAACATTTCTTTTCCAAAATATTAATGTAAACCCTGTAATTAAGATTTGTAGTTCAATAAATCTATAAATCATAGGTCTTCTTTAGAGATTTATGTCATATACATTATAAGTTTTGAGGGATTTTGCAGTAAAGAAACCTATTTTCAGTATTCTTCACATATAACTTGGTCATAGAATCCAGTTTCTTCCATGAAATTATTATTTAGGTGATCTAATAAGTTTCTCTCTTACTGCAACAGTTTTTAAAAACAATTCTGAAATGTTTACATCAGCTTTAGCTTGTAATGCCTTGTAACAACATCTGCTCCCAAGAGTTCTCCAATCTCCCCAGAAAAAGTCACTCATTGGATAAGGTATAAAAGGTCATAACTAAATTTTACGGGTGGCCACCATCCCCAGTCATCACCAAAACAGCCTTGGGCTTGCTTGAGAGTGAGGACTCTACCCCCATGACTTAATTACCTTCTGAAGACTTCAAATTTTTATAGTGTTGCATTGGGTTAAGTTTCAGCATGAGTTTTGGAGGTACATAAACATTCAAGCCCATGTCAGATAACAAGTTTATGTAAGATATGAGGTGATTATTTTCTCTTTCACTGCAAGCAGACATTGCTACTTAGTCAAGGTGCTTTCTTCCGTAGTGTAGACACAGCCACAGAATCTTTCTCAACCCAAGTTCTCTGTGTAGTCAGAACCAGTAAGTCAATGAGTACTGATACATATGGTGAAACTCTCTATCTCTGATCTCTTCTAAGCCCTCATTGTACAGGATTAAGAAAACTGAACCTCAGAGAAGTTAAGTGATTGTTCCTAGAGCACATAATTAGCTTAGTTCTTAAAAGAGTCACAAGTAAAAATAATTTTGCCTGTAGATGGAGCCAATTATCAGAAAGCATTAATGAACAACTTTTTTTGCCTCAGAGTCCCTAGTGCTGAAGTCAATAAAGTTTGGGGCCCAAACTTGTTCTGCCTATCTTTGAATTTTCTAGAACTAACCACCCTCTAAGGGATCATAGACTATTGATTAATATCAAACACTTAAAAAAAGGATACCAACCTAGGCCAATGACAGATCCCTTATCATTATCTGAGATTTCTCAAAATAACTGTCAGGAGCATCGCCCAAGGCTGTACCTCTCTTTCACTTTTTTCCAGGATTCCTCTTCCTTCTCTTCTCTCCTGCAACAAGTGACCTAAAGTGCTAGAAAAGTGACAAGTAGTATCTGCTGCCTTTGTCAGGGAATTCTATAGCAAGAAGCAGAAGAAGTAGGACTGGAAATAAATCAAACTTAGAACAACCCAATTGTAAGGAGAGCTAGGAGCTGCCCAGACCATCACTCTATATTTCATAGGATGGTTCTAGAACTTTGTGGGTTCCCGGCTCAGATTGCAAACCCTTGCATAGCTAACCTTGCCTCTGCTTGGGTTAAAAGCTTAAAGATGCTGGTAGGTAGGCCTGGATTTGAATGCCAACTCTCCCATCGGCATCAGGCAGCAGAATTTAGTCCCCTCTGAGCTTCGGTTTGCTCATCTGGAAGATAGAAGATAATAATATTTACCTGTTACAATTGTTGGGAAAATTTAATGAACTTATTTGATAAAACACAGAGTAAACTCTCAATAAATAAATGGTGGCTTTTAATTAGAATTACTATGATTAACTTATGTGTCATGGAAAGCAATACTAAGAAGTAAGAGGAGAAAATTCAGGCTGTACCTATTTGTTCTGAGCACCTAGAGCAGTTTGTGTGTGACATAACAAATTCATTATTCATGACAAGGCTTCATGAGGTGAATAGAACAGAACTTCAAGATACTACTATCTTGATACTACTTCAAGATACTGCTATTGGCCTTGGAGATTGGCTTTGCCTAATCAACCAAGAAACTCTACTATTTCAAGCTGATTTTTGGTGGCCTAGCCAGCAAATTTACTTATTCCAAAGAAGATACTCACATAACTAATCTCTCATTTGTCTCTTCCCAGGCACATCCACTGTAGTGTGCAAGCCTATAGTCATTGAAACTCAGCTCTATGTTATTGTGGCCCAGCTGTTTGGTGGCTCTCATATCTATAAGCGAGATGGTTTTGCAAACAAATTCATAAAAATTCAGGATATTGAAATACTCAAAATCCGAAAACCCAACGACATAGAAACATTCAAGATTGAAAACAACTGGTACTTTATTGTTGCTGATAGTTCAAAAGCTGGTTTTACTACCATTTATAAATGGAATGGAAATGGATTCTACTCCCATCAATCTTTACATGCCTGGTACAGGGACACTGATGTGGAATATTTAGAAATAGCCAGAACACCTGTGACACTTAGAACACCTCATTTAATCCTGTCCAGTAGTTCCCAGCGTCCTGTAATTTATCAGTGGAACAAAGCAACACAATTATTCACTAACCAAACTGATATTCCTAACATGGAAGATGTCTATGCAGTAAAGCACTTCTCAGTGAAAGGTGACGTGTACATTTGCTTGACAAGATTCATTGGTGATTCCAAAGTCATGAAATGGGGAGGCTCCTCGTTCCAGGATATTCAGAGGATGCCATCGCGAGGATCTATGGTGTTCCAGCCTCTTCAAATAAATAATTACCAATATGCAATTCTTGGAAGTGATTACTCCTTCACTCAAGTGTATAACTGGGATGCAGAGAAGGCCAAATTTGTGAAATTTCAGGAGTTAAATGTTCAGGCACCAAGATCGTTCACACACGTGTCCATTAATAAGCGTAATTTTCTTTTTGCTTCCAGTTTTAAGGGACATACACAGATTTACAAACATGTGATAGTTGACTTAAGCGCATGAGACACCAAATCCTGTGGCTGTCATCAGAATCTGTCTGCAGTTCGTGATCTGGATGAACTCCATGCATGACGACTCTTCTTATCACATTTGCGAATGAATGCCTTTTAAACATTGAGACGGCTAGAACCACACACTACCAGTACTTCATCCTTAACTGTCCAATCCAGTGATGTGGAAAGTTACCTTTTATAGGACAAAACTTAATTGTGTAACTGCTCTTTGCAGGAAGATGTGTAAATAAATGTTTCATGGTATCTGTTACTCAAAAAGAAATATTAATATGTACTTTTTCCATTTATTTATTCATGTGTTCAGAAGCAACTGCCAAATAAAATGTTTACATTTTCTTTCATATCCCAAAGGTAATTATTTACAGGAGTTATTTATTCTTCTTGATGGTATGTTGAGGAAATAGTTTTATATAATAGGGTTATATTTGGATCAAGAATTTATGATGTGAACAATGAGCGAAGATAAAACACTGAGGTTGATTACCCCATGATTTACAAACAGATTTACTATGGCTGTATCAGCTGATTTGGAATGTACAAAGGTATTTCTAGAGGTAATGGATTTTAGGGACATCTGAAGTGAAATTTTGACAAATTAAAAGAAAAGTAGAGAAATTTTGCCAGTTACAAAAAGCCTAATTAAATTAAAAAGAAGACTTCTTTGATAGCCCCAGCTAAAAAAAAATGTCTGGACAATTTGAAGAAATTAAAAATCAAACTTGAGGATTTAAAAATCCCTTTTCAGTGACTTTCTAAATGTCTGACTCTAGAATAATCTAGCAGCATATAGAAATTGTAACTTTATAGCATTTGCCTCAAATGTACCTTCTATGAAAACCCCTAACCTGATCAAGGATGCTGTGCATCAAGGAAGCAAATTTTATGTTATGGACCTGCTGCACAGTGACCAGAAGGCTCATCTTTGATTTTTTTTCCTGAATTTCTGCTTCTAGATCTTATGAGTCCTTGGCACCTTGCACAATGCCTGTGATGTAAAGGGCTCTCAAAAAGTGCTTTTTAAGAAGCATGCAGACTCTTCTCTTATACTAAACATATGAGGCCTGATTAGTGAGTATTTAGCGGATATTTACTAAGAATGAAGAATGGTTGGGGAGGAGTATTAAGGAAGAGCAGCACCTGATCCTTGCTCTCTGGGGTCTTAAAAGATTAATTGGGTTATAATACAAAATCTTACAGAGTAAGCAATGAGTGCCAGGAATCATGTGAGCATTTCAGATTATAAGTATCTGGGAGTATTAAGTATAATTTCTGGGACATTGTCATCCTTGCTTAAATTTAAAGCAAAAGTATAATTTCAAAAGGGGATCATGGGGCCGGGGCTTTAGCTCAGCAGGGTCATGCCTGCCTTGCAAGTGCAAGGTCCTGAGTTCAAGCCCCAGTACCAAAAAGAAAAGAAAACAAACAAACAAACAAACAAAACGGGGTCATGACAGAAGATATTCCTGGCAGAACTAGTTGCGTGTGCTGCCTTTATGAAGGGGTCAGGGTTTGTTCCTACTAAATGTCTCCAGACTCTTTTGCTATACCACTGGGTAGAGGCAGGCAGACAATAGCCTCTTTGCCCAGCAGAGATCTTGCAGACCAAATCATCAAACAATCCGCACCAACAATATTTACACAGCCTCCTGGCAGCAACATCCTGGGAAATTATGCACAAGAACCAGAATTCTTTACCATACAGAAAAGATATTAATCTGACATGAAGGTTTATAGAGGAAAAGAACGCTTACCCATTTCTGAACCTACAGCTAGGGAGAACTAGCCTTAAAATGTCTCTTTCTTTGCTTAGTTCTCTTTTCCTATAAGCAGAATTGTATGCTGTTGGAGAGCACCTGTTCTATACAAACTGGATTTAAATCCAGCTGTGCCATGCACTGGCTTTATCCATAGGCCAGGTACTTAATTGAGGTGAGCCTGTTCTTCGTTTGTAAAGAGGGACAATAGTACTTACATTCAAGAACAAGGGAAGGATTGAATGAGGATGTGCATGTGCAGCAGTTTGTATTTTCCAAATATGGCCACATTTTCTCCCATCCCCTGTGCTCTGTGAGACCCTTGCCCCACCCCATCAAGAGGAGGTGCCTAACGCACCTGTCCTATCCTGGTGGGTTTTCTACTTGCTTGTAGTCAATAGAATGTAATGGAAACCATACAGTTGAATTCTGAGGCTGTTGTAAAAATGGTGATGCTTCTGCCTTATAAACTGGGACACTGTTCATGGAGCCCTCATCAACTATGTACAAGTCAAACTAGCCTAGGGCCACCATTTTGTGCTGAAGCCCAGGCTCCACAGAGAATCTACAAGCCAGTGCTTTGGCCAAGTGCTCCAACTGATGTCTCACCAACAGTCATCACTGACCACCAGTACTGTGAGTGAGGATGTCTCCAGCGGTTCCAGCTCCTGCTGTCGTTACAACCAGACATCAGAGCTTCCCAACTGAGGCCACAGACATTATGGAGCAGAGCAAAGCCATCCATCCCCATGGTACCCTTGTCCAACTTCCTGACCTACTGACTCTAAGAGCATAATAAAATTGCTCTTTTAAATGCCTGCATTTCAGAGTGATTTGTTACACAGCAACAGTAATCAGAAAACACAAATTGCTTCTCATGGAACCGGTGCATGTGAGCACTTGCCAAGGGATGAGTGTTGCTAAGTGACTCCACAGCCACAATATTGTACACTTTTCAATCATGCTCCACTCTTTTTTTTTTTTGGTCCTGGGGATTGCACTCAGGTCCTTGTACCTGCAAGGCAGATGGCAGAACCACTGAGCTAAATCCCCAGCCCTCAGTCATTCTTTACTCTATGAATTAATGTCATTTGTTTCATTTTTTCTCAATTTGATGCCTTTGTTTTTTACCTGTACCAGGCATTGTGCTACATTCAAGGAGGCAGAGATCAAAGGCCTAGATTCTCAGAAAATAATCAATTATAGAAGTTAACAAACTGACTCTCTAATTTACCTCAAAGCCTCAGGCCCACAGCGGCAAAATGAGCTAGCTGATTTTAGACTATCACTTAGGCCTTCTAGTACTCAGACAGTCCATTCAAAAAATTACTCTGAAACCCCAACCTGAGACTGTGGATGGGAGAGAAAGACATGAGAATGCAGGTAGAGAAAATAAATCTAAGAATTATTGAGCAGCAGGATGTTGTTCCTGTCTTATACAAACTCTGTCTCCTCTCCAGACACTGCTGATTGGACATCGAGTAATTTCAAGTCCATGTGTTCAATGAAGAAGTTCTCTGTCCTGAGCCAATTAGGCACAGGCACCAGATTTGCAAGGGAGTAATCTTAACTTGGGCTCCTAGAAGTAGAGGGATTTGTTGTTGGAGCGCTCTCAAAACACAGCTATAATGAAGTGAGAAGAGCAGTATAGGGGAGAGGAAGATGCTGGGCAAAGACAAGAGAAGGGTGACTACAACCCGATCCTATAGCGATTCAAGAATTTGAATTGTAGCACAGATATGTCCTGCCTTGGGGCATGAAGTATGGACTAGTTAGTGCTTCACTGGATCATCACAAGAGAAGGTTCCAGCTCAATAAGGACAAGCCTCCAGAGAAGAGTACACACAAGCTATCACTGACAAATACCCACAGCAGGTGCAGGGTGAGGTATCAACCCAGAAGAGGATGTCCGGGTAGGGCGGCAAGAGCAAATGCTACCACAGTGATGGCTAGAGAGCTAAGACACTATTTTGGGGCAGCCAAGTGGCCCATGTACCACAAGAGTGAAAAGTTGGTCAGAAAAGTAAGAGGAGTCTGAAGTAAAAACTCAGAAAAAAGCAAGAGTGAGAAACTACATAGTCTAAAGGAAATAGGAGAGAGAGAGAGAGAGAGAGGGAGAGAGGAGGTGTATTAGACACTTTCTCATTGCAGGACAACATGTACAACTTAAAGGAGATTTATTTTGGCTCAGTTTCAGTCCATGGTTAGTTGGCTCCAAGACAAAAACATCATAGCAGAGCCAGGTGTGGTGGTGCACACCGTAATCCCAGCACTCGGGAAGCTGAGGCAAGAGGATCACTATGAGTTCGAGACCAGCCTGGGCTGTATAGCGAGTTCCAGGTCATTCTCAACTACATAGTGAGACCCTGTCTCAAAAAAAAAAAAAATCATAGCAGAAGGATCATGTAGGGAATAAAGGATGGAGGGCCAGGGACAAGTGCACGCCCTTCTAGGTGTGTGTGACTCATTCCTCTAACCAAGCCCCACCCCTGACACAAATAGTGAGTGGATTAATCTACTGATAAATCTAGCACTCCATGATCCAATAACAGTCAAAAGGCCCCATCTCTGAACAGAATTTTGGTGGCCATTCCAGATCTATACCATAACAGTTGGACAGGAAGGGGGACAGGGATAGGAAGTTTGGAAGGTGCCAAGGGTAGGAGAACCTCCAGAGATGTCACATTTTGAAGACCTAAAGTAGCCCTTCTCCACCTATTCCATTATTCTCTATTTTGTCCTCTCCCTGCCCATACAACTTGCCAATCCTTATCTAAATACCTACATGTTTCTGTGCCCAGCTTGTTCTACTACCTACAAGACCCTTTCCTCAACTTGTCTATCTTTAGAAATTTTAGTCCTCATCCAATCAGTTAAATGTGATTTCTTATTCATCTGGCTTGCCCAGCCCATTGCTTTTATGATGAACACAGCTTATTGCTGGGAGCACTGCGCTGTAGATCACTACAGCCAGGCCTAATTTGCCTCCTCCTGAGGATAAGGCAGGGTCCCATGGGAGAACAGGTGACAAGAGGGCATGGTGAGCAAGGCCTGGCTGAGAAGAGGTCTATCTTCCTTCCTGCCCATTCGCCAGAAAACCATCAAGTCCTGTAGCCCCTAGCTGTTTCCCTGTTCCAATCACAGGCATCCCCTTTAACCTCCCCCTGAGCTTTCCTTATCTCTACACTATAAATAAAGGTGCTAAGGATGACAGCCAGCCCTTTTATCCCATCAGGAAAAGAGGTTTCCACCTGGCCCCAGCTTTATCAGCCTTTTCTCTTCGTTGTTCTCTTTGCCTGTCTTTCTTAATCTCCCACTGTCATTTTTTCACTCCTTGGATCCTTCAGCCATGTGATCTTTCTACCTTGTGTTGTCCTTAGTTGTTGACATATCCATCTCTTCCACCAGGTTATCCCAAGATCAGGAGTGTGTCCTGGGCATCTGTGACTTTTTCATACCACTCCACCCTTAAGCTTCTGAAACAGTCCTACTTTGTAGAAGGTC